TGAAGGGAATTTTGTAGAGCCAGAATGTATTAATCGCCCGTTCGATTACTAAGCAATTATTTGCTCTGTAATGACTACAGAACAAATAGAGATTAGTATACCTTTGGTAAATGTATATTGAATGAACTGCAACAATTATCCAAAAAAAGAGAGGAAAAGTTCCAAGTTCCCCTGCCCCCAGGGCCGTCCTGCCCCTGCACCGTTTGACCTCTTTCAGGCTTCAAACTGCTTGGCTGCTCAGCTTTAGTGACTGAGTGTGGAAGTGTTTACTGAGGTCCTGCGGAGTGCAGCGGGCCAGTGTGGGCTCTTTCACGGACCTCGGACCCCATGGGGTGCTTCTTCTGTTTGTCCTGAAAAGCCATGAGAAGCTCCCGCTCCCCTGTTGTTGAAGGTGAGCTCACTTTGTTACTGATGCGGTCGACCAATGAGAGCTGAACTCACAAATATTTGTTGAACACATCAAGGATTTAAACTAACTTCAGTTGAATCCAAAAATCTTTTTCAGAAGTGTTAAGAGGCGCACAGATGCATTTTGGGATCTATACTGACTCATATGACACATATAGTATAATGGTTTTACAATAGAACCCCCATGTACTGGAAAGATTAGCTACATAAAACACAAAGTCATACCGACATAAATCAACACAAATTAGCTCAAACCTTAGCTGGAAAAAGCTAGTACATTCAAATGAAGCTAAACATCCATACCATAGCCAGATTACTAGGATTACTTTTACTTTTGATTTGACAGATTTTTACACCAAATACTTTTGTTGATGCCACTCAACCTGAAACTGGGAACTAGGTGGACTCTAACCCTAAACCTTTTCCATGGCAGGCAATATCCTTCTACTGCGCTCCTCTAGCATGTAGCCAATTAGATAGGTTTGTACAATATCTAAATGGCAGATTCAACTTTCAACCCTTTCAACTTAGCTTGATACAATTAAAAACCAGACCTGGAATTGATCACAAATAATATCCCATACTGCAGTAGCGGTGGTTATAGGGTGTTTTTTTTACTCTAAGTGTGTGCATGTGGCTTGGTGGTGTGTTCTGTTGAAGGGAGAGTGTATACAGTACAGCAGACATGACAGCAGGCAGGTGGTTTAAATCCTGCCCTGAAGCTGAGCACAAAGGACGTTTCTTATCAAAGACACAGATCAACTTTAGCCTTTAAAAAAATCTGACAGAACAGCTGCTGACAAAAACAAAGCATCAGCAGTATTTGTTCGTCAGGTAAACATCACATTCTCCTACACAGTGCCAGATACTAATGTGATTTAATCACACACTAGGTAAATGTATTGTGCATGAATGTTCCAGTGATGTAGGTCTAACCAGGTTCTTGGTTCACGTGCGTCGTAGTGTGAACGTTGGGACAATTCCACCGCAATGATTTGTTTCAATTTGTCAATGAATTGTTTAATTTTGAAAGCTGCTGACTCGGAGGGACAGTGTTCACTTTGATCACACACACACTCATAGTGAAACCACATTAATAGACTGTTAATGTGGTGATAAAAAAGTCTCGGAGGAAGAGGAAAATATAATTAGTGCAGTTATCTTCATTAATCACGGCGTTCATTACTGCTTAATTAGACGTGTGCTGTTTTTTTAAGAATACTGTGTGTGTGGATGGATGTGTGTGAGTGTGTGGGTGTGTGTGAGTGTTTGTGCGTTTGTAGTTGCAGAAGTCACTCCTTCCTACCTGAGCAGGATTGTGATTCTGTAGAATTGTGTTTCCTCTGAAACAGAACCAAAATAAGGATGACTCTAATTTTCCTGCAGCACATTTGCACACCCTGCCTGTGTGTGAGAAGAGCCGCAGCGTGCACCCATCCTCTTGATAAGACGTAGCATGCCAATCTGGGGATCTGCTGGAGACAAAGATGAAGTCCAGGTTCAGACCCTCTATCGGCTCTAGGCGTCTGTCTCATTAGCATAATCTCTGCTTTCCATTATCAGCTGGAGAGAGTGGCTGACCCTCCTGATCCACTGGCCTGTCAAACTTTATTCTCCTCCATCCGGGGGATCCTTTTTGTGCTGCTGTCTAAGGAAAGTGTGAAGCTGCTGGTAGCAAGTGATACCAAAGCACCAGAGAGCCTCAGCTGTCAGTGGACACTGCAACGTAACTCAGATTTACAATGCACTCATCTGTCACTTTGGCCCCTCCAGGGCTCCAGGGGGGTTAGAAATGAGGTTTCTATACCTTAACCTTGACATGTAGTATTTTAATGTGAATATGGAGATGCCAAAGAATCATTTTCAAAAGATCATACATTTGCATGTTTGCTAAACCAATTAATGTTACCCATACATAGTTAAATAATAATTAAAATAACTGTGTATATCTAAAAGATGACCCTAGTAACTGGAAAGGTTAACCAAAAATAGCTAGATTTGGTACTAAATATATGAAAGCTAAATATAGCTAAAATCTGCTAAAGTTGAATTGTATAACGCTTACATAGAAAATCATAGTCAAAAAATAATATTGGAAAGTGGTAAAAAAAGCAAAAAAAAAAAAAAAAAGCAGAGTAAGCCAATGCATAGCAAGAAATTAGCCCAGATTCGTTAGCTCTAGCATATCACACAAAAAGTTAAAAGATTATACAAAATAGTATTAGTATCCAAAATTACTTATTTTTTCTTATTTTTTAGTAATAGTATTTTTTCATGTGAATATTGATTGAAAGCTTATATTTACAATAATTCTATTGTGTAAAGTCATAGAAAAAAAAGTATTTTATATTTTATTCATATGCAGTGTACATTGACAATGGCAGAGAAAAACACTTGCTCGGAGATGAAGCCTCCTCTCCCCTCTCATCCCTCCCTCTCCTCTCCCTCTGCCACTCTTCTCCAGCAGCCTTAAATCCAGCTGCATGTGGAGGGAAAACAAATAGAGTCCATCCCATTGCAGCTGCCCCCCGAGGACCTGCTGCTACCTTTTGGAAAGTGATCCCAACCCACTGCAGTGGCCTCAAGTGCTGTCACGCCGCGTTAGTGCCAAATTGCTCTGCAAGTAGCCCCGCACGCCCCTCCCCTCCGGGCGCCCCATTTCCCGCACCGAGCGGCCAGCATTATGTGCTGAGGCTTCCTTCATAATTGGCTCGTGCATTAAAAATATATACAGTGTGTTTGTTTTAGCATTGCTTTGTAGAAAACAAATCCCAGCTACACTAAAAGAATTGATTTAATTAATGCAGCAGCATGTCCTGTGGCCACATGTAATCCGGAGAAAATTCTACAGCTGGATCTTTCAAGGAGTGCAGCTGAGGGGGGAATACAAAAAAGATATTCCGCCTTAGTCTCTTCCACTGGTCTGTAATGGGAGCCTCGCACTAATCCCATAATTCCCTGTTTAATTAAACTGCAAGGCCAACCCTGTAGTTTTCTCAGCCAGTTTGACAGACCCACTTCTCATGACTTCCACAGAGTACAGTGTGTCTGCTTTAGTGCAGACTGAAGTGTTCAGAACAAAACCGTCCTCCTACGACACCTTACACAACAGTGGTTCAGTTTAAAAGATGTTTAAATAGGTTTTAGCCTCGGGGAGTAGGGTTTAGCTCAACTTTAGACCCATCTTTAAAAATAAAGTCGAACGTCTCTGCATCTTTAACCTTGCCACTTTTAGTCCAGTCTCTCGTCTCTCAGAGTGTCACTGTCTCCATACTATAAGTACATCATAGCAGGTCTCACAACCACCTCAGAAACATTCCCTTTTCCTCTTGCTTGACCTTTCCTGTGGCCTGATCAGATCAGTCCAAACACGAACGTTCCTCGTTGCTTCTCTCTAATTCTCTGTGGTTTTGTTCAGCACAGAATATTTATATAGCAGAAAATGACAGCGTGAAGGAACAATAAACCAGAACATAATGTTTTCTTCACCAAAGCAGCTGGGAACTGTGCTTCCTAGTATTATGACGGGATCATTATCTTCAGATAGTTTGCTCAAAGGAGGGAGTTTTTCACGAGCAAAAAAAGGAGAGATTTGACCCAATTAAAATCTGGTAAATCCCACATGACAGCAGATCTGTTTTCATTGGAAACATGACATCACAGTCTACACTGACAGCACCTCACAGAGCATTATATCCCAGTCTAAACACTCCCAAGTCCTGATAAGCAGTTGGCAGCTTCATTTGAAGTGGGTATCTGTGTGTATCTGATAATCTCCCGTGGCTCTGCCGGCACAGCAGTACGGAGGCCCTTCAGATCTGGGTGAAATCAGCGGCACAATAAAATGTGTGGTGGTTATTTTCAGGCTGCCAGTCCGTTTGTCAGGGGTTGCCCTCAGGCTCACGGCGCTTCACGCACAAACACACATCACCAAGGTGGTCTGCGGAGATTAGCACCTCTTATTACGCTGCACTTCTCAGAGCCGTGTGCCCTACGGGATGCTGGGAAATGCAGGTTTTGTGTACAATAGTGAGGAGTAAAAAGAAACTGTTTTGCTGTATAAATAACTACAAAGAACGTGTCTTTTACAAACACCCGTTCTTATGTTTGTAGAAAGATTAAAACATAACTGACTGACTCTATACGTCTACCAACCGACTAGTGATCCAACAGGATGGACGTCAAGATAAATGTTGTACCGGTTGACCATCTACGTCGACGTTTTTAACTGCAAAATGTTTGTGTTCTCATCTTATCTTTTTAAAGAACTGCAATAGGTTAAAATAAAATAAAATACAGTATGTGCATTTGCTGCACATTTTATGGTCTCTAATGTGTATATATATAACTCATATATATATATATATATATATATATATATATATATACAGTATATATATATATAATGATAATGAATGATAATTGATAGTAATGTACTCCATGGACCAAACTCTTTATTTTCAGTTTTTTGTGTATGATCAAATTCCACAACAAGGAGTTACACATATTTGAAGAGAAAACCGAGCTATTTTATGAACCCGTTCTCTGTTTTGTACGATGACATGATAGGACCTGTCCATGTCTTTGTCCAGGCAGTCGGATGGATGAAGTTTCAGACGTGGAGTCGGAGCCCGACCTCCCTCTAAAAAGGAAACAACGCAGGAGTCGAACCACGTTCACAGCAGAGCAGCTGGAGGAGCTGGAGAAGGCCTTTGAAAGAACCCACTACCCTGACATCTACACCAGGGAGGAGCTGGCACAGAGGACCAAACTGACCGAGGCCCGGGTCCAGGTAACACTCCTGTCCATCAAATCAAAACCATATCCCAGCACTTGCCTCTAACCAGTGCCCACACCTCTGGAACAGCACTGGGACTGCGGCATCTCAGCCAAGTAAACTCTCTGTTCTGACACTTCCTCTCTGTGCACTACTGTAGAGCTTTAACAACAGCTGTAAGGTGTTCAGCAGTGGGGCGGGGGCCACATTCCTTACCAATGTCTCACTGCCTAACATCTTGGCTGGAATCTGCTTTTCCCACAACTTTCAAGCCCACAACTCATTGAAAAAAATTCACAGCAGATCACACAAAAGTCTGCACTTGCTCTTGGGATTTAAACCACAGCAGCAGCAGCAGCAGCAGCAGCAGCAGCAGTGTAGACCAATCAGAAGCCATAAACTAAAGGAGTGAGAACACAGGGTAGAAGCCAGAGCTCCAATGGAAGCGAAGGTAGTTAGACTAGTGGACATCGAACCCTCAACCTTCTTTATGAAATATGACGAGGTGTACCCACTGATGAGAGGGTCCCCTTAAATCATCAATTACTACTGTACACATACACATACATACAAACACACACACCCAAGTGAGTGAGTTTGACCGGGAGTTGGTTCTGCCTCTCCTACAGGAGAACCCCAGGGCATCAGCACCTGTTCTAATTATTTGAGTCTGCTGTTCAGAAATAGAAGTCCAAATGATGTTCTCCACTTGAAAGGCATAATTTCATTTTCTCCAAATGAAAAAAAAAAAAAAACCCTGATTCCTGGAGAAAGTGAGTGAGTGTATGGTGTGGGTGCAGAGCTGGAGGCGATAGAGGATGGTGTGCTGTGTGCACGGATTAACTTGTGTGTGCTATTGTATCAATTTGTTCCATTTGGGAAAAATTAGGAAAACCAGTTATTCCTCATGTACTATATAAAGAAAAAGAAAAGTACGCAGCCATCTGGTCCCACAAAAAGTGGAAATGATCAATTAGTTTCAAACAAACTGGTAGATGTTTGTGGAAAACTGAACGTCAATATTGTACATAAGAGTTGTGTCTAACATAAAACCGATGGTACAGTGAACAGGGTATGAAGAGTGTATAAAGTACAGCATAGAAATGCATAGAAATGCTATAGAAATGAAGATATCAGCCTGCCATTTCTTAACATTATACTGTCCAGTTCGCAGGACTGTAGGTGGCGCTGGTATATTGGTAATCCTGTGTGTTCACTGGGAGAGGTTATCATCAGCGGGGCCACGGTTGTTGGTCGGAGATGGTTTTTGTTGCTTTGTTAGACTTCCTGGACATTTGAGTGACAGGACAGAAACTGTTCTAATCCAGGAGGAAAAGTCTTTCTCAGAATGTTGTCTCAGTGCTAGTGCTGTCCTCCAACAGCGACAGTTGGAAACTCTGGTGTACTCTAATGTAGGACAGGGAGTGGGAGGGACAGACTGTGGAGCAGAAGTTCATTATGACTCTGTCTGTGGATGTAATTTTAGTTTAGTTCCAGGCTGATTCAGAGCTACGGACTATTTGGTTTTAATTAAGAAGTTTTAAATTACTTCATGTCTCAAGTGAGTTCAAATTGGAGACAGTTTTTGCTTTTGGCAGTTCACATGCACACACACACACACACACACACACACACACACACACACACCTTTTTACATGATGCCTGATATAGCTCATATGACCAGAGTAGAATATGAGTGGTTTTCATTTTAAACACCTCTGAAATTATATCTGTGTAAGTGACCATGTTGATGAGGAAGAGGATGATGAACATAAAGCTGAAGATGGATGTGAGGACAAAGAGTGGATCTGATTTGACCAGGCAGATGTAAATCTAAATTTGAATGTGTGAAGTGTCATCTTTGTACCGTAATTCTTTTAAAAAAATATTTCTACAATTAAAACATAAATAAAACATTTAGTCTGAAACACGTCTTGAGAAGTCTCGGCTCAGGATCTCGGTTTCTTTAATCTTTTTATGACCAATATTATGATCACATAAGAAGTGCCTGTGTGGTTTTGTTGTTTTGTTCAGGTGTGGTTCAGCAATCGAAGGGCCAGGTGGCGAAAGCAGGCAGGAGCCAATCAACTAGCAGCATTCAACCACCTGTTGCCAGGTGGTTTTCCTCCCACGGGAATGCCAACCCTTCCTACATACCAACTGCCAGAGTCCAGCTACCAAACCAACAGTCTGTCCCAGGGTACAGCCGATCATTGCTGACACCGAACTTCTTTTTTGTACCTTTTACTACAAAAGAAAAAAAAAAACAACAACTAAAAGTTGCTTAATGTTGCGTTTCAGATGGTGTTGGCACCGTTCACCGCCCCCAGCCTTTACCTCCATCCAGCATGCACCAGAGTGGTCTGTCCACCAATGACAGCACCTCTGCCTACGGTCTGACCTCCAATCGCCACGGCTTCTCTAGCTACACTGACACTTTCATGAGCTCAGCAGCAGCCAACAGCCACGTCAACCCTGTCAGTAACGGGCTCCCCCCACAGGTAAGAACCGCTGCGTTCAACATCTGAGTCCAGGAATCTTTACACTGTTCAATTCCCAGTGGAACCACATGCTTGGCTCCTGCTCGGGGCAGCATGCTGCAGCAGATCTGCTGTGAACACAAGAATTCCCCAAATATGGGAAATTCAAATGATTTGTATTATTACTAATGTGACCCTGGAAAGGACACAGATTGTGTGAGTGGGTTTGGGTTATAATAGGTAAAGTAGTAAAGTTCAATATTTCGCTCTGATAAAATGTGTTAGGTGTTTATTTTGTGAATTCAGACCTAGAACATTTCAGACCTAGAACATTTAGTAGCCACACATAATGAAGTCACCTGAAATGTTTGAAATTTTATAAAAAACCACCTCTCTACATCCGTATGTTCCTGACTCTACTGCTACACAGCAGTTAAGTCAAGGTGAACTCATGCAAAATATGTTTGGGTCCAATTGGAATTCTCTAGCTTCAAAGAGCTTCAAAGAGCTTCAAAGAGCTCAGCAGCAGTTTCACTGGTATCCTACACCAGTCAGCATGGAACACTACAGATAGTTGATGCTCACAGAATTCACGCTGGAGGGCTCAGAGTTTCACAGATGCATATATCAGCACCATGTTGTGTACCAGAGACTACAGTGGGATTTGGTGAAAGAAACACTGGACTGTAGACTGGTTATAATGGAGGTGATTTTACAGCATGTGATTATTAACCATAATGCTCCATTCCTACCTGCCTGTCTCTGCACCGCAGCTTTGGTTTGTATGGAGGATTAGCTCGTACGTATATGCCACATATACTATAGGTTTTTCAAACGATTACGCCTCAGGACCTGCACTTTACCTGACCCATGGTTGTGACTGAAATGTTCACAGACACAAATCAGTCTTCATAGATAAATAAATGCAGTATTAAACTCACATTCTTTTTTTTTTTTTTTTGGTGTGAGTTTTAATACATTTTACTTGATGATGAGTCTTTTTTTTAAATTGAGAACTGTTTCCAAGAACAGTAGCGAATGTTGATTTGTTGTTATTTTCACAGTCTAATCTGTGTTTTTTAATAATTTCTAATTTAATGCTCACAGATTTGTGGTAGAAAAAAAATCTGATTTTTTTTTTAAATCTTTAATGTCTGAGCACAGCTTATCTGCATTGGAAATAAATAAATATGAATACCACAGCAGTGAAAAGAACAGTAGATAAACTGAGCTGCTTTCTGTGTTTGTTGGAGCTTTTTTTTTCCATTATGGGATCAATGCCATTGACCCTTTCATCATGTTTCCAAGCATTTACATGAGATAACAATGTCGAGCGAATTTCTGGTTTCCCTCTTCAGAATTGCAGCAAGGCTGCTCTGTACGTTGACAGACCATAATTCAATTTGAAACAGCTACATTGCATTTGGAATGTAATTCACACAAGCCATTCCTGCACCTCCTTTTTTTCAAATTGAATGGGAAAGAATTAGAGGCTGACTTTCATGTGGGGGGATTGAGCGCGGAGCCAATTCCGAGTCTTATTGACAGGAAGACAAAATGACAGCCAGGAACGATGGTGATGAAGGTGATGATGGTGATGATGGTGATGATGGTGATGATGGTGATGCAGTGTAAATAGAAACCCCTCCTTATCTCTGAGCTTTAGCATCACAGCCGTTACAACCTCCTCCACCTAAAAAGGAGGGAAAAAAGCCAGAAAAAAGGGATTTTTAAACACAAACACACACATTTATATATATTTGATAAATAAATAATAATTCAATCTCTTCTGCTTTAGAGGTCTTTCCCCCACACTGAGACAGACTGCATCACTAATCCCTTTTTGTCAGGTCAAACATCTTAGTGACCCACCACTCAAAATGAAACTATTACTCCCCACAGTGACCCCATCATCACATCATCACATCACACCAAGGGAAAGCGGAGCATATTTTTCCTATTGCGCTCTCATTTCCTCTCTGGTTTGTTGTGAGAGAAAGATTTAGCCCGCTTTGGAAAGGAGCAGCTCTCGGGCTCACTATTTGATGTCAGGGAGAAAGAAATGGAAAGAGGAGCAGTGTGTGTGTGTGTGTGTGTGTGTGTGTGGGTGAGAGGGGATAGAATAGAGTGGGTTTCAGTGTTTGGGGATCAGAGCTGCTTTGGTTCTCCAGCTCTGTCTCTTTGATCCATATCCCCAGGCCTGCCTGCCTGCCTGCCTGACTAACTCAGGCCTCTGCTCGTGATTCCTGACAACTGTCGGCCTGAGATAAGGAGGTGGGGTGAGGAGGGGAGAAAGAGGAGGGGACAAGGACTCTTCTACCGCCATAAACTCCCTACCTCCACCTCCCTATCCCCTTCATTTCACAGCACTACACACATTTACGGGACATTCGTTTTCTCCACAATACTCTTGATAAACACATTGGACACATTCATGCAGACACCAATACTACGGATAGACATAATGCACACCCTAAATACAACAACTCAATTCCTAAACCTGACCTTTAATATAAAATATTGCTAATTCTAAACCTGGTCTGATAGAATTCAGCCAGTAGACTTATAAAATGTAGACCTCGAGTTATCCTGTCTTCATAATATAATTTAGAACAAAAATGGTTTTTACTCTGAAAACGTACGGTTGCAAAACCTGAACTATAAATTTATAAGAAACGAAAACAGAAATAATAATTGGAAAACCAGGATTTATTTCACTCTGCTTCCCCTCCTCGACACAACTGTGTTCACCTGAGTATCAATGGGAGAGAGTGAGTGGATGCTAATATTAGTCTTAGCACAACCATTAAAAGAGCTCTGAGCTCTAAGCCCTTTGACTGGGCACGCTGTCAACTGGCACGCTCCCATGTCAACAAATCAAAAAGGATGAGCAGATATATTTACATCAGTGCCATAATGAAGAGCAGAGCAAAGGCTGTGGGGGGAGGGGGAGGAGAGCGCTGGTTAATTAGAAATTGCTTTTAGAAAAAAAGAAAAAAAGAAAAAAGACGTGACTTCATTTTGGCAAGAGGCTAAAGCAAAAGAGCTTTAGCCTTTTTAAAATAATAAATAAATAAATAGCAGTAATACTGAAGGAATCTGCCAGTAGAGGCAGAGGAATTTAAATCACATCCAATGATGGGATGTTTGAAGGATACATTTTCTTTTATTTTGTCACTAAGTGCATTCTGGTCTAAACTGAGCCCCCGGTGCTGTCTTACAGGCTGACTGAGTGACTGACTTAAGTGACTGTGTGGGTAGCAAAGTGTTAAGCTCTTCTAGGGCCCCAGGTTTGATAGTAGGTGTTGACTGGCTGCATCACAACTCCAAACTTTTACCAGCTCCTGTGCTAATGTGATGGGTTGTTACAGACAAATTCACCAAGGCTGCAATAAATAAACATTTCTGGACCAGAATGTTCTGTTTGGTTAAACATGAATTTGAGAATTAAGTGAATTCTTTTTCATTGTTGATGTTAATTAGGACATGATGATTTTAGTTAATTATAGAGAAGCACGAAATGATGATAAAATGTATTATATCTTTTGCCTGAAATGAAATTTTTATTTATTGTCTAATAGCATTTCCAAACACATGTAATATGTACAAGCAACGGGCCAGATCAATTTGCCAACAACCCTGGTGACATTGTCCTCTTTCCGTTTTTTCAGGTGATGAGCATCCTGAGTAACCCTAGTGGCGTGGCCTCCCAGCCGCAGCACGACTTCTCCATTTCGCCACTCCACAGCAACTTGGACACTTCTCCATCCAACGTCATCTCCACCAGCTGCAGCCAGCGCTCCAACGACTCCTCAATTAAGACGGTGGACAGCCTCCCTTCATCTCAGTCCTACTGCCCTCCGACCTACAGCTCCACCGGCTACAACATGGACTCAGCAGTGGCAGCTGCTGGATACCAGTACAGTCAGTACGGCCAGAGTGAGTCCTGAGTTCACAAGAGAACCAACACACACACACACAGTTTCTTTTTTCTTTTTTTACTTGATGGTGTCATTTAAGCTGACGTTGTATTGAGTTCAGACACAGATAAACTAGATTGATCTGCTCTGTATGTGTGTTTTTTTGACTTATTGAAACAAGTAACTGGGTCAAAATTTCACACAGAGAAAAGGAAATTACATTTGATAGATTGTTTCACCCAAGTCCTTCCATGGTCATGGATTCTCCACAAAGACCCTGCCCACTTGTAGGAACAGCACTTGTCAAAATATATAGTTCCAATATTGTCTGGTAAAAATAAATACGATGTAACAGGGGCTTCAGTAGTGTCAAATTTATGTAACTGAGAAGGCTTAAATTTCAGCACCATGGACAGCACCATAGTCCTATAATTACTTTTTGTTTTGTTTTGTTATTCACTCGCTCACATCTAAAGGTCCATCTGTAGTCTTTCAGTTCATATATATACATACATATATATACATATATATACATATATGTTGTTGGGGGTGGTGTTTTTTCTGTAGAATCTGATGATGGTCTGTGTTTTATTGAACCACATCTTTGTTGGTGCAGTGATTTTCTAATGTCAGGTGTGTTGTTTGTTGCCCCCCAGTAAACCTCACTGACTCAACTCACATCTCACCCCCCCCCCCCCCCCCCCCCACCACCTGAGCAGACAGATTTAGGAGTTTACTGCAGACATTTGACTCTCCTCTGCTCTGATCCAAGAATTCCCTGACAGATTAAAGTACATACTGTCAAAATAGCTGATTTGTGAGTGTTTGTGTGTGTACGTGTGTGTTTTGTGTTACGTGTCTGCATAAGTTTTGGTGCACATTATCAGATGAGCTGCATCTTAGTAGCAGAGGACTTTTGGTGTTAGTGCTGAACAGGGATTTAAGGTATAAACCTTGTTGACAGAAAAAAGAAAGGCTCCTCTACAAGGACTGCTAAACCCTTCACATCTCACCACACACACACACACATATATACACACACACAGCTCCCCCTTTATCCTTCAGAGTGACTGGCATCTTGGCACACAGACCTGCCCACCCATAGGTGCTCTTCTTTTTCCCCTGTTTCTGACAGGCAGCCTCTCTCCTGTTCACTCACGTGTTCTAACTCACACGTCCGACTTATTTTCAGCCAAACACCCTTAAAACAAACACACTCTCTCACCTGAACACAACACCTCACATCACATTTACTGTCACACCCCTCACTCTCTTAGAAGGAAGTTATCAGCAGCTAAACCTCGAGCGCTCTGAGCACCGCTGCCAGCTTTCACAGAAACACTCATTTAACGGACGATGCCCGTCACTCTGTCAGTGGAGGGGAAACGTTTGTCTGACAGAGTCAGTGTCATGTTGTCAGACAGTCAGACTGAACAATAGCAAGCGATCAATGCAGTGCATGTAGTGTCTTGTTTTGTAAATGTTCTGTTGTTGTGACTGTGTTTTCATTTTTCCTGGGGTTATTACCATTGTTCAGCTTCACCTCCTCCTCATCCATCATCGTTTTCTTCCCTTTGAACTCTGTTTTTGAAACCTTTCAGGAAATGTCCTCATTTCCTGCTTTTATAATTCACACATTTCTGGGATAAAAACCAATTAATACAGATTTTAATCAGGCTAACTCTCTCCTCTGTCTCAGTTTTGTAAGAGATGCCTCTTTCAGAAATTGGCACTGCCTTTACCTCCGTCAGCACCAACACTGAAGGATTTCTGTTTTTTTTTTTTGTTTTTTTTTTGCTGGTTTCATTGTGTCCCGACTTTAAACCTCGCCGTTTGTGTCCTTATTCTCTCCAGCTGCTGTGGATTACCTGGCCAAAAATGTGGGCCTGTCCAGTCAGCGCAGGATGAAACTGACCGACCACTCAGCTGTGCTGGGTCTGCTGCAGGTGGAGACGGGCCAGGCCTATTAACGCCCGGTGGTCACCCGCACAACCAGTTGCTCCTGTTACCATCCATACAATCTGTGTGTGTGTGTGTGTGTGTATGAGAGAGAGAGAGAGAGTGAGAGTGAGTGCCTATCAAAGTGTCAATGCAGTTGATACACTACCTAGATGTTTTATACGTTTTTTACAGAACTGTTTTTCCAGCAGTGACGTATGAAATGACCAAGCTTTAAACATTCCTTGTGGGAATTCCACTGTTAGGAATACAGTTGTCGTTATTGCACCAAGTTTGTCATCAGTTTATTTACATTTTCTTTTAAAGCATAAACTGGTATTGTAAACTGTTACTGTCCAACTAAAAAAACAGTCGAGGAAACAATGAAAACACACGACGGCACACATCAGAAATTTAATTTAATTGTGAAAATGATTTTATGTTTAAACAACACTGCCTAAAATCAAAACAAAGTAAATAAATAACAATTTTTCATTCCCCAGTCGTGCTGAAGTAGTCTGACTGATACCAAACTTTACATGTATTTTTTGTTTTTTTGTTTTTACTTACATTGTTGACTTAGAGCAGGTAAACAATTCACATCTTTATGATTCGTTGTTGTCGTCGCCTTCTTTTCATTCAATCTAAACACATTCCCCTAAAAATTGACAGAAAAAAAATCAAAAGTGGTTAAAAATATGTTAATCTTAAAAATGATTTTTAATCCAATTTAATTTTTGTTAAAATATTTAATAATCATTTTTTCCCTTCAAATGACTTGGTTTTCATTGCCACACATTACACGGTCAGGTTCAGTTGAATGCGTGCATTGATTTGTCGCCGCCTGATTGGTTGGTTACATTCTTACATCCACGAGCAGCTATTAGGTTGAACCTAATAAAGTGGCAGGTTTTGGACCCACACCTTTGCCCCAGTTATTACCTGAACTGACCAAAGGAAAAGTCCATTCCTGCATAAAACGATCCTGAGCTTTTTGGGAGAGCAACATCAAGGCTGCAAAGATGCCTCAGTATTTTGACCTTCACCCCTAGAGTAACATGCAGGAAGTGAAGTGGATCAAAGAGAGAATCATTCCCTCCATGATGTCATTCCATATATAAAAATCAACAGTGAAAAATTCAATATTGTTATTTTTTAAACTTTAAAATTCCTTGTATTATCCTATTTTGTTCCTGATCATGTGTTATTATTTCTGACGTACGCTCAGTCCTTTTCCCTAATGTAAAAAAACCAACATGTCATTTTTACCCCCCCTCCCGCCCCCACAGACCCTAGTGTCTGTTTGAAGCTATAGCAGCCACCACTGTTTTTACATTTTAACTTCATCCACCCGCTTCTCCACAAGAGCCAAGAAACCCTCGGCTGCAGATGGTGGGAAACTTCTACCTTGTGTAAATAGTATTTTTTCACTGACAGAAAACCAAGGAGAAAAATATTAAAGATCAAATGTACAGATATTATTCATCTTCACGCTCTTCTCGTTTACCTCTTGGTCCTTTGCTTTTGCTTCTTCATTTCTTTATTTCCGTTCGGCATGTGTGTAATATAATTTATTCTACGTGTATGACGTGTTAGACTAGAACAAATATTATTTGTTTGTAAAAAAAACCTTTATTCCTCTCGGCCTCATGGCGCTTCAGCTGTAACACGGGTGAAAGTGTTTGTTTATTAAAGCTCTACATCTGGACCAAGAGCACGCTGCCTTCGGCTGACTTCATTGTCTTCACTCTAAGTCCTGCTGATTGTGAACTTTCCTATAGTTTATGACTGTATATATATATATTAACATAAAACATAAAATATATGTTAACAATATATAAGATTTTTGCTCAATCTTGGTCAAGTTTTAGCTTTGAAAGCTAACCAGTTTTGCTTCATTTCTGCTAACAGCCTCATCAATACTCTAACACACACACACACACCTAGTTGTATCTTGGCTAACTTTAAGCTATGTTCAAACTATTCCACACAGTACTGTTTATTATAGACAGCTGGTATAATTTGCAGTGATGCTATTGCTGTTCACCATTAAAACTGTGGTCCAACAAGACGAAGGACTGAAGGAGCAGGTATATCAGAGATATTTATATATGTATATACATGTATATATATGTATGTATACAGTGTATATATATTCCAACTGTTTAGCATTTAACACTAGAAGTTCTGAACGTGTTGTTGTGGTTGAAGACAAATGTGACTGATGTGAGAAAGTGACACCAGGAATGCAGTGATTAGAGGATGCGTCTGTAGAAGTTAAACTTCCTCCTCCCAGAAGCCCCTGGGGTATTGTGCTCTGGGTGCTGCTCTTTGTCAGACACTCAACACTGTCACAATGAAAGCACTTACAAAGCCTAACATCTCCCTAAATCCCATAATTATTCCAGGATACATTATGTACCTGGGCTCCAGCTGTCTGATGGGCACAGTGAAGGGATTGCAGCTCCAACAATCAGCTTATGACAGACAGATTGTTATGATTGGTTAATAATAGCAGCTTGTAAGTAGTGTGCTTAAGTGGTGTGGAACAGACAGAGGAAGAAATGTGAAATAAATGTTCTCGATCCCTTCCTCCCTCCTCCTGAGCCGCCGTTGTTGGATGATCATCCCGTGCCTCGCTCTCTCTCTCTCGCTCTCGCTCTCTCTCTTTTCCATTTTCATCCACAACAATGGGAAGAGAGAGAGTAGCATTGTGTAGTAACAACGTCACCCCCACCCTACCACCAGCTGCTGTACCACCGCTGCTACGGTCAGCTTCCATGTTTCATCCACTGTTATGGTGTTTCTTCAATCTCGGGTCGTTTACCCTTCCTCCCCCCAAACTCCTCTTCCTCCCCCACGCACACAAACTACTATCACTTAATCTAATCTCATGATTTCTGTAACTCTTGTCTAGAATTAATCTAGAAGAGAGTGGTGGGTGTTTTGACTCACCTCTCTGCTCTGACACCTGCACCGTAACCAGCCTCAGTGAGGGGAATGGTTTCTGCACTGACAGCTGATGCCTATAATTTTAATTTTTTAAAAAATGTTCTTCTTTTTTTAACCCATAACACAAACCAGAAACAACCACCAACAGAGTTTAAGGCCCCAGTAAAAATGTAATTATTTTTTAATTTTATTTGGGGGGATTAAATATGACCAAAAAAGCTAGCTAGCCTGAAAGTGTGGTCGTCTTAGTTACACTGCATTAGTAGTAACTGAAAAAATAGTAAAAATTTAATTTCATTATTTTAACTTAGAATTCTGTTTAATTAGATTTAAGGACAACACCTCTCTGATAAATGTCATGAGAAATAAACAACAACAATTTCCTGAAAAAAATAAATCACAGAATCTTTAAAATTGAATTTAAGTCATTTTTACGTGTGTCATACAAAGTACCGTTACCATGTAGATCAGCAGAGATAATGGAAATATTAAAATTATGAACCAGAGGGGGACAACATGCAAACGCCACACTTGCTTGCTTCAAGGCGACTGTCCAAATTCCAAGAGCCCTGCGTTGCTCTGAGTCATAATCTACCATATAATGTCTAACTGTGGGTGAAAAGAGAAATATCACTACAAACCTCACAAGACGCTGCTTCTTTAAACAGGTCCATACATTGTATTTTTTGCGTAGTTGCAAACCTCTGATCCTGTTCTTCCTGACTCTCCGTACAGGTGTAATCTAGTGTCTGATCCCTGATGCTGACAGCTGCTCATGCACAGACTCCTGGGCCTGTACTGAGTCTTAATGAATAAAGGGAGACTTAAGGACACAGGTGTTTGTATGCGTCTCTTGCTTAGTTTGTCTCCTCAGAACCTGAAATGAAGAATTAAACTCAAAGGCAAGGCATTCGTTTTGGATCAGTGATAATAAAGGTAAAGCCCGCAGCTCTCACTGTATCCACTGTGGAGTTTACCATTGACACATGTTGAATGTCCTGAGCCTGAGTGAGCTGTGAGTGCACTAGACGTTACTCTGCCGGTGTTGGTATGACCCTGGTTGGGTCATCCAAGGCAAAGAGGTCCAGGATATGGATCTGACTCTCTCCTCAGAACCAGCCTCTTCTGCCCGGGAGAGAGGCAGTGACCCAGAGTGGGCATACTTGGTACTACTGAGGCTTTTAGGCCTTTTTGGACAGTGCGACTCCAGAGGCATTATGGGTACCTGAAGAGTTGAGTCAGCTTTGGTGGTTCTTGTAGCAAACACCCAGGCTTTAACACCTTAGAGGAGATGCTGGTCCACATTGTCAGCAGTTAACCAAATACATTTTTAGGTAAAGCCGTTGTAGTGAGCAGTAACGGTTTGATGGCCAGTCTTTCCAATGGAACAAAATATTAATAACACTTTCTAATTTGAACTCTTTTTTTACACTGCACAATAACGTTTGTTTTTGTCTGACCAGCTCTGATAAAATAAGGTTTTTACCTGCGTCTAATCCTCTAATCCTCTCGTGTCAACCAAGTCCTTGCCATCAGTGGAACTGTGGAATTCCTCAGTGTTACCTCATCCTGTAACAGGACACCATTTCACAGACTCTGAGTCGTGCAGCTGTCAGCTTCAGCTCCAGGTTCTCAGGAGTCGACCCAAGTCTCAGCTTCAGATTTCCAAACTTCCAGAGTCTCAGCTGCTCGGTGACCCAGTCCTGCGTGGGCTCGGCCGTTAGCTGCCCCACCATTCCTCCTCTTTGGTTGCTGTTGTGTCCCAGCTGACGTCTGGGGTTCCCATTTGTACAACACTGGGATCATCTTCAGTGTCATTCCTCGTCTGCTCCAGGTCCTTTGCTCTGTCCTTGCCTTACACTTGGCTTGTGCTTCGCATTAGTCGTTGTCTCATGCTCTTTAAAATCCATAAATCATTAAATCCATACACGTATTTTTCTTTTCTTTTTTTATCAATGTATTCTTGACTGTTTTTTATGTTTTCAGGTTTTTGATCATTCCCATGGAATTCTCTTGTTGTGCTGCAGTTTGCACCTTCCTGCCTCTCTGCCAGCGGAATCCTCCGCAATCCTCTTTATTTCACACCAGAACCTTAGCTCCTTTATTTGAATTTACAGTCAACGTTGTCAATGAGTCTGTGGGAGTGTTCGATGTGGCTGGAAAATGTTTATTGTCCCTTTTTTTTTCATTTTTTACAAGACTTATGAAAGAGCAGGAAACTCCTGATCACAAAAGCCAGATTTTTCTGACATTGCTGAACTGCCGTCCCCTCTGACCTGGAAGTTTTTATTTATCCTCAACATAAGGGTCACGACAGAGGATGTAAAGAGCTTTGTACAACCTCACGGCATAAATTAAAAGTGATGAGACTGAACTAAACATGGCTGCAGTTGGCGGTTTTCATTTGGGTTTTGTCACATTTAATTTAGGGAGAGGTCTGGCAGACGGCTGGACGTCAATAATAACACTTTAGCACCATAATGATGCTATTTGACTGGAACACAGAGACTGGAGGTTATGCATGGCTAAAGAGGCCTGCTCCAGCTGAGTCCTCCCGCCCACTGGTTATATGTGGTGGGGGGATGAGATGCAGCACTCACAGCTTCACATTATGAGGTTGTTATCAGAACTGGCTGGAGAGACAAAGATTCAGAATAGAGAACAATCACTAGGGACAAACAGTGTGTTCTGTTACATCCTGCATCCCAAAACAGTGGACTGTACAAGTCAAACTGATTCACTAAGAATTATTGTCATTATTGCTGCATAATTAAGTGTCCGTCTTAAAATTAAAAAGAAATCTCTCTCTGAAAAGACCTTTACATCATTACTTCCTCTCTTTTTTCTTTAAAAAAAAAACAGCTTATATTTGAAACTTTTCCTCCTGACAGAGCCGCCCTCTGTACGTATTGTCAGAACTACACACACACACACACACAGACTTTTGTAAATCACCTGCATTAAAAGATTCTCAGGCTGCATCTGCATATAATAAATCCCTTCCTTTGTCCTTGTGAGCTGCTTTGAGGATGGAGAATATCTCTGCTCTAAACTGACCTGCCGTCAGAAAGAAAGGCAATTACAGCAGGATTTCATGTACACCACTGCTCAGGATTACAAAAGCCTTATATCAGAGATGCTGCAACCCCACCTACCATTGTGGCTCCACCGGAGGTGTCTGCCGTATCCAGCTGGGATGAAAAAAAAAATCCCAGACCTGGGAGGTAAATTTAATTTTTTAAGATCACAGGCCTTTATGATAATCACTCCCTCACAGCATTGGACTGTGAGAAATTTCCAGAAACAGGATTACCAGGGTTAGGTGACTCCATTTCAAAAAAGAAGAGGGAAAGATTAATTCAGAAGGGGCTGGAGAACATGAGGAGACAGCGGAGAAAACAATGTCCATGCAAATGTTCTTCACCTCTATCTACAGTGATGACCCCATACAGATGCCACACTCTGTGTCTCTGCGACGTAGCATGCTAAATCACATCATCCTACATCCAGTGTGTATTTCAACTGAAAGCTTCTCTCCGTAGAAGAAACCAGCGAAGGTGGACAGGGGGAATCTGGAATGTCACATTAACAAGCTAATACTGTCGCCGAGTGTAACCTCCACCTGTGGGAATCAGGCGGAGGTTAGGAAAATGACTTTGTGAGCAGCATTGCAATTGGCAGATTTTAAAGGCATAGCAAGAAAAAAACAAAACAAACAACAATGCTACAGTGACCTTGGCACTAAACCCTAAGGTGTGGACAGAAAGAAATCACCTCTGGCCCTGGTCATACATCACATAAATAATTACAGTTGGTAGATAACTTGGTAGATCAGGCCTGTTATTTGTGCTGTGACTAGACTGCTGTCTGTCGTTATATGTGAAGTTAATTGGTTTAAAGTTAATTGGAACACATACATGCACATTATTGTAATATTTCCTCATTGTATCTTTAAATTCGGAAGAATGAAGGGCTTTAGTGTACAGTCTTCAAGTTCATATATTTAGAAGTATCAACTCTAAATGTATCAACAGCAATTAATGTTTAAACAGGAAACTGTCGATATTGATAGTTCATATCATTTAAAAAAGGCTGTATGAAAGTGATTGTTACTAGGACAGACAGTAAGAGTTTTACACATTGAGCAGGCTTAGCCAATCACATCATCACTAGGAAAGGAATGTTAGAATCCAAGCAGACACTAAAGTCATGAATCACTGGCAAATAAAAGCTTCCAAATGGTTCTTTAAGACCTCCGGTGCTACTCATCTCCCAAATATGAGGAGAATCGGAGCTTCAGGTTTCACACAGACATAGTGTAAGACATGGAAGAGGATGAGTGAACTGGCCAGACTGAGGAGTCAAGGCCACCATCAGGAGGGACCTGCCACTTTCCCAGGCTTTTGACAAGATCAACAGCTGAGACACTGCTGCTACCGCCGCCGCCTCTGCTGCTGCTGCATAACTGTAGCACACAGATGCATGCATGCCGGTACTGTACAGCAGCGTGTGTGTGTGTGTGTGTGTGTGTGTGAGAGAGAGAGAGAGAGAGAGAGAGTGTGGTGATATTTTAGAGGGAGGTGGTAATGAGAAAGAAAGGGAGAGTGAGCTGAGATGGTGATGTTTTTCTTTCCATCTGCAACAGATGATGAGAGTTGAAAAGCAGCTGCCCTCTCTCTCTCACACACACACACACACACACACACTTGTATCTTGCTGCTCCTCTAAAAGCTCTGATGTAGGTTTATTATAATTAAAAGGTAATTATAACGATGCAGTTAATTCCTGTATAAATCAAGCCCATTACCACAAATAGTTCAGTTGTAGTTAGAATGATGGTGATTTCAGTGACCGGTGATTCAGTTGTTAATTTTTGATTTTGTTGCTTTTTCAACTCCCCTTAAATGTCACTTTGTTAAAATAAAAAACATCTGATGAGGCCTCGAGACGATTCCTACCACAGCATATGTTGTTGACTGAGCCCAGGTCCCCAGAGAAGTATGGTGTTGAGTCAGTCTTTTTAGTATTCTCAATCTCCCCACTCAAAGCCCAATGGTCACAGTTGATGACGTATTTCTTAAAAATCTGCTCCAACACTTGTATTTTCAGAATCACAGCACAAGATGTCACCCGTGAGTAACATATAAATATTTATATCATTCAGGATCACGGCTATGGGCATGAATTGTTTATTTTTTACAGTGGCTTCCCGTACTCTGCAATTTACAAACTAGACTGGCTGCAGAAGAGTGGTATATGTATAATAGTACATGTACTAATATGCTTATGCCACGAGATGGTAGTATATACACGCACCTACAAGTGCTTCGTGTTTGCCTATAGGTGCTACATTTAAAGAACTACATATACTACTACTACTACTACTACTACTACTACTACTACTACTACTACTACTAATAATAATAATAATAATAAAACGAAATAAAAATGCTTGAAAAAATATATAACATGTGTTTTGGAGAAACCTTTTCCACCGTTTGTGGAAAAATAATCTTTGTGGAAAGTCATTTTAAAAGCCTTTTAAAACGACACAAATCTCCATAACTTGCTGCTTACAATCATGTTTGGCAAAAAGTGGAATCTGAGAACTTTTCTGTGACGTAGCTGTTAACCAAACACCAAAAGACCCATGTCCTTGGGGAACAAATAGCCTTAAAACCAACACATTTCCCACAGTAACCTTCCACAGGATGCCATGTGGGATCTCAGTCACAGGCCTTTTCCAAGTCCACAAAGCAGACACAGATGGATGAACTCCTCCTGAGACCCCTGAGACCCAGACCGTCCAGGGTAAAGAGTACATCCAGTGTTTTGCGGCAGTAAGAACTTGCATTGTTCCCCACACAATCAGTCACATGCCAACACCCTGGCACAAGGCTTCCTCTGCAAGGCTGAACAGAGTGATGTCATCATCATTCAAACACTCCCTTGGGTCTCTTTGTTTTTCAAAGAGGAGGATCACCCTACTATGATTTAGTGTCACGCCTTTTTATCTGCAATGGTGACCTTTACTAGTGAGTGGAATGATTTTTCAGGAAATTGTACTTTTGAACACTCTACTGATTAAAAGAGTCAGGAGAAGTATAGAGCATATTGAATATGGAATAATAGAAGAATATAAGCATATAAGTAACATAAGGACAGAAAGAATAGTTGAAATACTTCAGCCTACTGTTAAATGATGTTGGGTTAGAGGACATTAATTATGTAGGCAGTCTTGAGGAAAATATTGTGTTCATGCATGCTCGAGAATGCAACAACATGAATGCCCATAGCAACTCTGAATGCAGTCCTTGTGATGGCATCTAAAAATGCATTTAGAGTGCAGTTGGGAGTGTTATGGCTTACTGAGAGCTGACCACACAGAACAGCTGTTTATAACAAGTGGGAATGGGGATTAGCAGAGAAAATAACTGGATATTAGTCAACAATGGTCAGGAATTTCACAAATGAAATGATTGGCTTTGTTGGTAATATTTATACAGCACAAAGACTTGTTAACAACTATATATATATAAGTGTGTGTGGTCACAAGCATGAACAATGTGAAGTATGCTCATTTCATGTTATCCAGGAAAGAGTAGTGAGTCATGAGTCATCAGGTTTAGTCAGCAAAGGTTTTGCTGACTAAAAGCCCCAGTTTGTAACCTTGTGATAAACAATAATATGTGGAGAGTGAGTAATTCCAGTGATTTTGGTTTATTCTGTCTTTCTTTTACTTTAGCTGACCTTTCCAGCTGACCTCTTTCAGCACTCCATTCAGTTCTGTGGGCTCCATTAAGGCTTATGTGTCTCATCAAACTGAGCTTGTATATTTATTTTACATGACAAAAGACTTCTACAGTTTACACCCGATTAATTTATTTTATCTTGGCAATGTGTTTGCTGGACACTATCCAAGACCCTATTAAACAGAGAGTTGTACATTTAGAACAAGACCACACAGCATTATGTGCCGAGTAACAGTTTAAACAAGCGTCAAAATCAGTGCAAGGAAAGCTCTATACCAATTTTAAACTGTACCGTTATATAGGTATAAAATCCATCAACCAGTTTCACAATTACTCTATGGCTTGAAAAGGAAACCTCAGGAAACAACCAGATTACGCATGCAGATTACAAACGGTAGTTGTTGGGGGGTCATGTGTGATGTTAGATGTTAGATGATTTGAACTTGTACTTTACATTTCCAGATCTATACTCCCTTTTCTATATCTCTTTACTATCACCAGGTACATAACAAGTACAGTACAGTACTAGAGGTGGGCGGGGCGTGACAGAACAGGTAACTGTCTCTTTAAAGGGCGGGGTTGTGGCTGTGTGACGCTACAGTTGAGTGCAACGTAGTTAATGAGCTGACGATAGTCAACATCCTGTGTGTGTGCGTCTGGCAGAGCTTAAGTCACTGCTGGGAAACCGAATTAGCAACATAAAGTGATTGTATTTCAATTTGTGTCGTTTTTCTTTTTTTAAGAAAAACCTCAACATATCTGTTGAGGAAGTTACTCGGACCACACGTTGTCTCCGTCCCGCCATAGTTTGCACTGACGCTAAACCGTTACTAACGGCTCCGCACTAAAAAAATGGCCACAGACGAGCTTTCTCAGAAACTCAGCCGACGGCTCCAAATAGAAGAAGGAACAGAGGAGCCGGTGGCCCTAGATTGTACGGAACAAGAAGGTGAGAATGGCGAGAAAGAGACCACGGCCAACGCAGACTCTGAGCTTGGGGCCAAACTTTTAAGAAGAGGAGAACTGAACGAGGGCCAAGCAGAGCCCTGTCAGCCCAGCACGAAGGTGTTCAACCCTTACACCGAGTTCAAGGAGTTCTCCAGGAAGCAGATCAAAGACATGGAGAAGATGTTTAAAATGTAAGTGACTTTAATAACAGTCTGCTGTTGTTTCTACTGCAGGCCCCATTGGCCCCTCACTGTCCCACACCCGGGTGTGATTTGATGACAGGTCAGTTAGAGGAAGCTGCTAGATTTGCACATATAAGGAAATAGAGTCGTCAGTTTAGTTAGTGCATGTCAGTGCTACATTCAACATTATTTCTTTACAGTTCTTGTGTTGTCAACAGCGCATCGTCCTGTAAACTTCAATAAAGCACCGGAAATGAAGATTATACTTAAGGTATAAGAATAATAAACAAGATAAACAGTGGAATAAGTTAACACTAAACAACTGAATAAAATTCAACAACTTGTTAGAGTAACCAAAAGTCGGTGAAAAGTTCAGTGAGTTAGAGATATTTCACCTAATCTCATACTGCTGATTTCTGGGGGTTAGCTGATTGCAGGGTGTGGACATTACGCAAGTATGTGACAAGGAAGTGAGTAACAGCTTTCACTGACTGTAGAAATAATTTAATCTTTTTTCTGTATTGACAAATGAATACTGAAAGAACAAAACGTGTGTGTATATATACAATATATAGTTTATTATAAGCACCAAATTCCTTGGAATTTTAAATATATATAAGCAACACCAGTGACTCCTTTCTAGAAATATCTTTCAATTCTAGGTTTTAGAAAAACATCTTTTAAAATAGAGAAGTCAAATATATTGAAATTAAATAGAATGAATCTATATAATCTATCTAACTTTAGTCAAGTTACAAGGGAAGAACAACATGTCATTTTCTGAGGTGTGGTCTGTAATTCCTTCAACAACATAATTCACAAGGCCAAAAATAAAAATCAACAAACTCTCACAGAAATAATAACATTATGGATTTAGTAAAGGTCCATTATGGTGGTAAAAGCTATTCAGAAAAAAGAGTAAAGAAACAAGTAGCCGATAACAAAGTTACTTTTTCCAAAAATGATTACAAAGCACGATATATGTATATATATATATGTGTGTGTGTATGTGTATGTGTATATATGTATATGTGTATATATATGTGTATATGTATATATATGTATATATGTATATGTATATATATATATATTCTATACAGGTTTCTTCAAAAATATCGTGTAGTACTGAAGCAGTCATCAGCGGTCATCTCTAATGATGACAAACAGGCATGTCACATAAGTTCTGGTCTTAATTCTAGGATTTGCCCTGGAGCCAGACTTTGATATTATTTCACACCTAGTTGAGAAACTCTGAGTTTGGCCAAAACCAAATCACCACATCCCAGGTTTGACGTCATCTTTTTTACACACTCACAAATATCCAGCTGTTTTTAAAGTAAAATATCATTCTGTTTTAATGCCAGCAGTTTAAAGCTACATTTTTGGACTTGGTCAGAGTGGGAACATAATAAAACCAAAGGAAGTGGTGTGACTTTTTAATACTAAATTATGTTCATTGTGTTAAAGGGTAGCCATATATTCACTTCCTCCGTGCAAAGGTCATGTGTTGCTTCAAAGTAAGCATCATACAGAATACAGTTTGTCACTCTTAGTTAACAGAGAGTGTATTTTTTGTTATAGCCATGGTCAAATATATGACCTGTCATTGTACTGCTCCTTCTCCTACATGTGGGTTTGGAACATTCTCTCTCCTCTGGGAAGAGACAACTCCACTTGGAGGCTTTGTTTTTGCACATCCATAAATTTGAACCTTTTTTGCATGATGCTCTGCAAAGATTCTTCAGGCTTCTGTCACGTCAGGACTTGTCCAGGCATTTAAAGTGCACTTTATACTTTCTCAGTTACCTTCACTCATTTTCTGTGCAGTCAACCAGCAAGAAAATAGAGTTATACATTTATCTTTCAGCATCTAAAGGGAAGTTTTCATCTTTTTGCTATTTTGCAGTAAATGATGTCACGCAAAGATTAAAAGGAGAGCTCTACCTGCTGTGGTATCAGCCCACACACGCTGCTAAAGTTAGATTGCTATAAAACGAAATATTTAAATAAAGCACTGAACCTGTCCTAAGCATTGACACCACCAAGGTTACATTTTCACTGATACTGGTGGTATGCATACTCATGTAGTAGTTTATCTGGACTGTGGGCGTGTGGGTAGATAATGATCAATAATAGCAATCCTTAGCCATTTCACTTCTCCCTAACAGTTTTCCGGCCTTTAAGAAAAAACTGAGCGATTCAATCAGTCTCTTAGTTCTAGTTCTTCTGAAAAAAAAAAAAAAACAGAAGAGGAATTTCTGAACTGCTTCTACTTCCTCCATCTGAAGACCTAGGTCATGGCAGAAAAACAATGGTTTCTTATTTTACTGCATGTCCTTAAGGCTCATCCATCCATCCATCCATCCATTTTCATCCGCTTATCCGTTTCCGGGTCGCGGGGGCAGCAGTCGCCACCCAAATCACATTGCACCGTACCAAACCTTCCTGCGGGTGGTGAGTCCACTGGAAGGTACCAACCGCCCTAACCGGGATTCGAACTTGCCCAGGAGGTGAACCCTGGGGTTCCACACCAATGACAGAGACATTGCCTCTGGGCCAAAGCGCCACCCTTAAGGCTCATGTTTTATATTTTCTATTTTACTGCATGTCCTTAAGGCTCATGTTTTATATTTTTTTCATGGACCTAAATCAGAAATGGGAAAAATCAAAACTGTTTATTCTTTCTGATCTGTGCTAGTTTTTAATAAATTCTGAGATTTGATGCATGAGATCCAGGTTTTGTAGCAGAGCAATAGTCAGCACTCACATCGACCTGTTGTTATTCATCTTTCTGTTCTAGCAATATACCGATTTTCTTTCATAATACTTAAGAACGTTGATTCAAGTTAATCATGATTCATTGTTATCAATTTTAACCTGTGATTAATAAATAAAAAATGTAAACATTTGACAGCCCTCATACTGTATATATTTTATAAAATGCTTACATGACGATAGATGAATGACTTCTGCTGAAAAATACCATCTCAATCTGAGTGAAGTGTACTTGCATGAGTGGCTTTAAACTAATTTTCCTGATGTTCCTGAATGCACCTTTGTTTTACAGAGCTTACATTTGCCCGCACTTAAAAGCTTTGAAGGGAACTACAGTGCAGTCAGATAATGTATTCCCAAAGTACAAGTGCCTTATATAGCTACATCTAAACTGCCTGGGCACTGACTTTAAATCTGAATAAGTGAATATTACTGATGGAGAAAGTAGAGAAAACAAATGGTCACAAAACAAATTGTATGTTTCACATTTCTTTACTTTTTTATTACTTCTGCAAAGGTATGACACTGGAAAAGACAACTACATTGATCTAATGGAGCTGAAGCTGATGATGGAAAAGCTCGGTGCTCCTCAGACTCACATCGGCCTGAAAAACATGATCAAGGAGGTGGATGAAGACCTGGACAACAAACTGAATTTCAGAGAGGTAAAAAGAAAGAAGGGATAGGAATTAGAAAAAGACTAAGTGGTGGTCTTTCTATTCAAACGTCCATGTTTCTCTGTTCCTCTTTTGTTCCTTTCAGTTCCTGATGATTTTCAGAAAAGCAGCAGCAGGAGAACTGGCGGAGGACAGCGGCCTCAGTGTCCTCGCTCGCCTCTCTGAAATAGATGTTTCAGCAGAAGGGGTGAAGGGAGCAAAGTCCTTTTTTGAAGCTAAAGTAAGTTCATCTAACTTTTAATTTTAAAACAAACAGTAGTGTCAACTGTGTATGAGCTGACTGAGACTGAAGTGATGATTGATATTGATTTCCCCCTTGTTATAGGTTAACGCCATTAATGAATCCAACAAGTTTGAGGCTGAGATCCGTCAGGAGCAGGAGGAGAAGAAGAAGCAGGCCGAGGAGCAGAAACAGAGACGAGCTGCTTTCAAAGAACTGAAATCGGCCTTCAACTGACAACCTCAGTCCTTCACTCTCTCTCTCTTTCTCTCTTTCTCTCTCCCTCTCTCTCCTCTCATTCCAGGACTTTCTCTGTGCTGCACTAATGTGTCAGATCAACTCCCAAATATTCAGATAAATAATCTTTCATATATAATTGACATATCAGCACTGTGCCTGCTTATGCAGAAAAAAAAGGAAATTGAAATCAATGATTCTTTTGTATATTTAGCTCTATGGCTTTGAGACAAGAATACAACAGGATTGGCAGGAGAATAGTTTGTACACGGTTAAATTATTGAACAGTTATGTTTGTCTGCAGTGATAAGGAACAATTTGTTTTTCCAATTATCCGCCCCGTGGCCCCTGTGCTGGCACAGTGGAGGTGCAGACCCAAAGGGAGGCCTGAATCCTGTTTTAGCTAACAGAACAAGCACACTCACAGTCACGTGTATTTGCCATGCTGGGAGGTAACATTTAGATTCCTTTTCCAAGGTCCAGTATCTTCCTGCTTCTTGTATCTGCATAAACTTCTGATGAATGCACTTATTGCACTGTCAGGGCTTTAGTGTGTTTGAGCTACAGTGTAGTCCACAGTTCATACTCTATTCACTGTGATTTTTCACAATAACGATAGTGTTAAGTGACGAACAAATAACTCTGGCTTTATTTTTGTACTTTTGTACCTGTATTTTCTGGGGGGGTTCAGTGGGTGGGTGTAGGTTAGAGATGGGTTAGATGGTACTTGGTGGTGGTCTTCTATGGGTCTCATGGAAGGTATATTTAAACTTTCTGTACGCGCTTCAGCACTGAGGTCTGTAGACAATGAGCATTTCCTCTGAGAGTGTGTTTTCATTTAGAGTTGAATTTGACAATCTCCTGAAAATGTCTAGACAGAAACCAACCAACAATTTACAAAGTTTACTTTTGAACTTTGGTTTTCTACTTTCACAAAAGCACTTGTTTTTCAACAGCTCCACTTTTTTTTCCAACTGTTCTGTTAATAATTGCAGACTTTTATTGAAGAGCATATCTATGTTTAATCATTATTACCTCTGACTCTCACTCACTTCAGTCTGGTGTGTTTTCGTTGAGAGATTTGAACATTTCACACTTGGTCATTTGGTCTAAATCTTTCATTGTGTTATTTTAACTTTACTCCAACATTTCACTGGGTCCACTCTTAATTATTACCATGTTCACTATGGGGTAAGAAAGGTTAGACAGAAAATGCACTGCCTATTGTGTGATGCATGATAATCATAAAAAAACAAACATTCTGTGACTTTTCTAAATTTATCTTTCAAAAAGATATAAAAGAAGATTTGGTGTGGGTGATCAGGACATCAGAAACATCCAAGACAATCCAGTTTAAAGGTTGTAAAAGTGTGTGATTCATCAACAGTGTCCATTTGAGCATCTGTTTATTTAAATAACCAGGGTTAGTACCCAATCTAATGAAGATCAGCGTAATGAGCGTCATAAAACAGATAAAGTTTCATTGGATGGATTTGTTTCCTGTAGACATAAGGGACTAACGCTTTCTCACTGTGTAATCATTTGAAGCACTAAAAGTAGTTTTTGCTGGTGTTATCTTTTAAATGTCTGATGGTTTAAAATCAAACCAAATACATTTCAGCTCAGTATGACAGAGACTTATTTACTGTATTTCAATGTGAGACATTGTTGTCCTTTTGTGCTGAACATATTCTGTTGGTTCAGTGGTTTCTTTATATATGCAAAACATCCCGTCTTATATTTCCTTACTGGTGTTTCTCTGAGCATTTCCAGAATGTTGTCAGTTGGATGGGTTTCCTCTGCATCGTTCCTCTAACGAGTCATTCCTTCCTGTCATTTCTGTCTTTAGAACAGTGCCAAATGTTGAGACTACTGTCAAAGGGCTTTACTTTACAGAAACACAAATGTACACACAGATGGTATGAACAATCATGCTACAATATAGTTGTATAAAAAGATGTTGACGTGTTCTTCTTTTACCAGTTGTTGCATCACCATCCTGTGACTTTAATGGTCGAACTTCAGTTCTCTGCTACAATCCTCATTTATTTCCACTTGGGGTCACTAATACACCCTCAGGTGGTGAGTAGACAATAATACACCTGTAGTGCACCTGCCGCTGTATTTCACCCATGTATTGTAGAATATACCAGGTGTGTATTATGACTTTATATTACGCGTATTCCTCTGTGAACTTCTTAGCTGAAGAGTACTGTATGATTTCCCTATCTGAATAGCTCTAGCCTTATATTGGCTCTCCCTGTTTCTGATTGGACAACCATTTCTGTCATTCTGTCCTGCCCTTTAATCTGATTGGTCTAGAGTTGACGAGTAATGGGACAGGTCCAGTTGTGACTGTGTAAGCAGAGACCAGCAGAGGTGCAGAGGTGTTGTCAATCTGACAGGTCCCGGCACTGAGTGAGTGACTGAGTGAGTGCAGCGTTCAGGGCTCTCAGGTAACGTCACTCTGACTGGTATCAGCTCCACACCATGGCTAGAGTTCTCTAACAAAATGAAGGACCAGTACCACCCAGGTAGGTCTCATCCTTGTCCTTGTTTTTATTCTGATTTAGCTGCATGACCTAAAGTAAAGTGCTTTGCACAGCCTACAGGACGTGAGGTGAAAGTGCACATTATTCCCTATTACAGTTACAATAGTCACTATTATAACTGTAAGTCAAAGTAAACTTCCATTTGCATATATATGCCATTTGCACTCCTCTTGGACCCACGGTGCAGAATGGCAAGAATATAATAAAGGGAAGTGACTAATATTTTGAAGTGACGTCCAAGCCACAGGTGTTCAAACATTTGGTTGATTTGATAAAAGACAGTTATCTGCCTTCAACAGAAGATTATAATCCACTACAATTCCTGTGCATTTATTTGTTTTGAAATTTAATGACGGATAAAATAAATAGAAACTAGCCTGCAATTAACTAAAGCTCAGTGACCTGTCTGGGGTGTGCCCCTAGAGCAACCCTCAAAATGATTAAGCCTTAGAAGATGAAAAAGAAATAAAACATTATATGAAATTTCCAAAAATAGTTGCATGTAAAAGGAACGTACAAAATTAGCAAAAAACATATAACAGCTTTGGAAAGATGTATAAAAAGATGCTAAAGTAGCTACAACACATTCATTCAACTGTTTCTTGTCATCAAACACATTCATTCAACTGTTTCTTGTCACTGTTTCCTAACCTGTGCTCCTCCACTGCAGCAGCAGCAGCAGTGGCCCAGCATGAAGAACAACCTCAGGCTCTGCACTGAGTCCTCTGGTCCATCAGATCTATACATGTACAGCACCAGGATCCAAATTTCCTGTCTATATCTTTCTGGTTTTTCAAAGCTGTGACCACATACT